TTTGTGGAAAGAGAGGGTGAAATGATGGCAGATTTTGTTGACGGATTGTTAACTGGTAACGTTCCAATGGTCCACTGCATAGCGCTAATCTGTCTCTTTCACTCGGATGGCTATCCATCCACTGAGATAATCGACCTACAGACCATCCAGCGCTCTGCATAACATAAAATTTATTAATTTTTTATAAAATGTAATCATTTTTTCTTTAATCAGTCTAAATAAATTGATGTTTTTATAAGAAATCTATTTCACCTGATGTGGTGATGCTAATTCGGGAGGCGCGCCGGAAAATAAATGCAGGAGAATAAGAGACGGTGATACGCTACTTTCTCCTTGTCCTTCGAGAATTTTTTCCACCATCTGTTCGGGATTGAGGGGAAGTAAAGTTTTGAACGCTCGCAGTATTCTGTATTGCTGTTGCTCAAGTAAACCCATCTGGCCGCCACGACACAATGGCGTCACAGCTATTTCCATCTAAAACTTGCAATCTGTTTCATCTGTATCTATAATTGATATATTTGTCTTTACATGAACGAGATATACCTGAGCGAAATCTACCAGAAGTTTTGCTTTTCCAAAATCAGTCAAAGGTCTCAACAAGCAAGCATGACGCACAAATAATTCTATACATCTCGACGCGACTGCTTTACAACTGAAATGATATTAACTTTTAATAATTTGTTTTTTATGAATAGAAGGATTAAAAGAAACAAAGCTTACCTTTCAGCTACAACCACTTGATTTTTATACGATAGTAAGAATGTATTTACAGATCGTAGGATGAAGCCTTGCAATTCACGCATATAAAGAGAACAACCAATTTCTTTTCCTAGAGGGCTACTTGTGCTGTATGATAAAAAATAATAATATGCGATATGAGAACAGTAGATGAAAATGAAAGGAACAACTCAAGGAGAAAAACAACTTACTCTTTAAATTCGGGATCATCATGCATCGTTAAAATAATACTTTCGATCGCATCACTAATAGAAGTTAACAACGGCGCGAGTAAATTCTTCGTTAATTCATCTGTTTCCTTGAGCGCCGTGGTAATGACAACGCCGCCTTCGGAGGATAAACCTCCTGCCAGATTAGCTATTACACGGTTTGTCTGGCTGGAAAGATAATGAAGAAGATTCGCGAGCGTAACATTTGTCTGTTGACCAGTAGTAGGAGAATCAATTACTTGGCTGGCCTCACCACCTGTCACCACACTCTGTTCGCATTTCAAACAGAATAGTCTTATTGCTTTTCCTACATTACGCGACACCACGGTAGAGAGTCCATCGTCCACCAGTGATACGCTGAGCTCACTAGAAGCGGAATATAATTCTATAGTTTATCTACTATAGTTTATTTAATAGATAAGATGTATATATGTAAAAAGATGCCAATCTTACTTTGTAATCATACGTATGAGACTGTCAATCTCGTCATGCGTCGGCAAACCCTCGCCAGAAAACATATTGTGAACTGGATCCAAAAGTCGAGACACGGAACGTGATAAATATGCATTTTCGAACGGTAATAAAACATTGCGGCTATATTAAAGACATAGACATTAATATAAAGCTTCGTATGTCATTTATATCCGTCTATTGAGAAGTACTTACTCAATACCATAAATCCCAATACTGTGAGATCTTTCTTTCAAACGTTTACTCAAGTCTAAAAATATTCTTAAAAATTTTGGATATTCTCCTTCCAGAGCTTGCTTTACAAATGACGATCCTGCAAGATCCTTTATTGAAACTTTCTTTGAATTAAATTCAGAGTATTTAATATATATTTATAATAATTTACCTTGAGCACGTTCGATCAAAACTTTCGCAAGAAGAGCATTTACTCTATCCCAAAATTTCTCGGATAAATCGTGAAATCCTTTCATATGATGCTCCAATAATATTCTTTGCAGCAATTCAATCTAGATATAAAACAATGTTGTTTGTGAAAATGACTGAATGAAAAACGAATAAAATGCATATTGTTATCCGTTTACTTGTAGACATTGCGTATATAAAGTATCTTGGAAAAGACGTTCAAGATTTTCCCAAATTCTTGTGCGTAAGTTTCCAGACGATCCAGGCGACGGAATCGCAGCTCTGCCCGGCGCTCCACGTTTTCCAAAATCCGGATTTGTTACGAAAGATACATCCAATGATTCTGTGGAAATTCTTTCTATTTCAGCCAAGGTAGACTCTATAGTTGTGTCCACAGCACTGCCTATTATTCCTAAATTTTGAAAGACCTGCATAGCCGTGCTTACCTATTCATTATATATAGATATTAGTGCAAATATATTACAATTATAGTAATATGATTAAACTTAATTAACACCACGTATTTTATTTGTAGATTCAGATTAAGTATTAGCTATATTAAAAATAATGTATAAATACCTTTGTCCTATCCATCGCCTGTAAACCTTGTGTTAATGTATGAGTGGCAATTCTTTGCACAGTAGCTCTTTGAGTCTTTATAGCCTGTTGGTCATCTGCGATTACATCTAGGCCATTAAGATCTGTGTCTGCCATCAGTTGTTCTGTAAATATAATTTCACAATATAACATATGAGATCAATGAAGAAACACAAAATGATATGTAATAATGGTACATATATGTATACCAAGCTCATGCAGACTATTAGCAGCTTTAACAATATCTGGTCCTTGCGTAATACTACTCATTTGAGCATTTAAACGTTTCGATAAATGTTGCATCCTAGAGACTCTTCTCAAAAGATCGGAGGTTTCATGAAGCCGTGCTAATACAATCGTTTGCATTTCAATTCTATTAAATGGATCGATAATCTTACCACGTAATCGCTCTACTGCTGATAAGAGGCTCTGAAATAGAAATTATTATACTTCATGTCCTTTTAAATTCAGATTGACATTAATGTTTCTTTACTTAATGTTTCTTTACTTGTATGTGAGATTGCATTATAAAAAGTACTCCTTCTAATTTTTCTACCCATGTTGCTTGAGATAGTAAATCCTCATGATTCACAAGTACTTGCTTTTGCAATTCAGCATTCAATACCTCAATAGCTAGAAACAACATTTATTTATTGTAATTATTATATGTATTTATTATTACATTTACTTTAATTACTATAAATATTTATTATTATTATGTCGATATTTCAATGATATAAAGCAATTTGAATTTTACCTTGTCCCAACTTGTTTAATTGTTGAGCCACTGACAACAATTGGCTGACGTCAGTCTTTTTGGAGTCGATGTCCAATAGTTGTTTAAAAAATTCTGAAATTAAAGTATATTTCATTAACTCTCCATAAATTCTTATTCGACAGACATTTGTTTTTTTTTCAACTTACGATCATTTTCGATATCTTCCCAACTTGATATTTCACCCATTTTTAATTTACAAAATACAAGTAAATGACATCTGTATCTCGGGAGAGCAAGAAGATAAATCTGTCAGAAAGGAGTGATATGCGCATGCGTCGCAATCATATGACATCTAGGGAATTTCGAGAAACTGACGTTTAGATTGTCTATCCTTTCAAAAAAGATAGGCAACTTAAATCTAAATATCAATTTTTCAAAATTCCCCATGAAGATAAAATGAGAAATCTAAATCTACATGGCATATTGTTATACATAATATGATAAACATTTCCGATTTTGTGCATTAATATTGATTATCCATTTCTGTAGTTTAAAATTTTATCCTCAACCACAATTTATTATTCGCAAAGATGATAAACAGTCTCTTTATTATAAATTCTTCAGGGTAAGTATATTATAACTTGATAAAGAAAGTAGATCACAAGTTTGACATATTATTTCACGAATCACATAGATTCGCATTTCTGACAGAGTTTATACATTTTTTATTATTGCTGTAACGTTTATATTTCTTATGCAACATTTCGAATATGTTTTGTATGCTTATAGAGACGTCTTCATGGAGAAACATTGGAAGAGTGCAGTTGCACGTTCACTCTGTGACTATTTCTTTGATCAACAGCGACGAGTCTTGTCACCGGAGGATACACCTCCGGTAATAGCTACTCCACATCATTATCTCATTAGTATATATCGCTGTAATATGTTCTTCGTCGCAGTGTGCATGACAGAGGGTAAGCTTTGATAAATAACATCATTTGTCATAAAGTAATGTCATATGTAGACTAATATAAACATTCTTTCAGTTCCACCATTATTTGTTATTGAATTCTTGCACAGAGTAGTGGACACTTTTGAAGATTATTTCAGCGAATGTACAGAAACTATTATAAAAGAAAACTATGTGGTAGTATATGAATTGCTGGATGAAATGTTAGATAATGGTTTCCCTCTAGCTACGGAATCTAATATACTGAAAGAATTGATCAAGCCACCTAATATTTTACGCACCATCGCGAATACTGTTACAGGCAAATCTAAGTAAGTACATTTCAATTCATGTTAAACATTTACATAGATGTACTTATTAAGAATTTTTATACATTTTATAAATTTGTACGTAGCGTTAGTGCAATCTTGCCAAGTGGACAATTATCCAATGTTCCTTGGAGACGAACTGGAGTGAAATATACCAACAATGAAGCATACTTTGATGTTGTTGAAGAAGTCGATGCGATTATTGATCGAACTGGAGCAACAGTGTTTGCAGAAATTCAGGGCTATGTATGTTTTGTAGTTTCTCACAAATATTAATATGACATATTAACATATATAATTAATCTTTTAGATTGACTGTTGTATAAAATTAAGTGGTATGCCAGATCTCACTCTTTCATTTATGAATCCAAGACTGTTTGATGATGTCAGCTTTCATCCTTGTGTTCGATTCAAAAGATGGGAGGTATATATGTGAATAATGTAACATTATGCTTGATGTGAAAATTAATTTTTAAGTTTATGTCTTTTTTTCAGTCGGAGAGAATACTTTCCTTTATTCCACCTGATGGTAATTTTCGCCTTCTTTCATATCATATAGGATCACAAAGTATTGTAGCAATCCCTATATATGTAAGACATAATATTAGCCTGAAAGAACCAGGAGGTGGTAGATTAGATATCACTGTTGGACCAAAACAGACTATTGGTAGGACGGTAAGTTATTTTTTTTAAATATACATGATTGTAAATTTTATTATCATTATAATTATTATTACTAATCATTATAGGTTGAAAATGTGACTCTAGAAATTCCCATGCCAAAGATAGTTTTGAATTGCACTTTAACTCCAAACCAAGGAAAATATTCTTTTGATCCCGTCAGCAAAATATTGCTGTGGGACATTGGAAGAATTGACGTTTCCAAGCTGCCAAATCTCAGAGGATCGGTAAGATAATTATAAGGCCTTTAAAGATGTATGATTAATAATTATATTATTACGAAATTTTATATTTTAGATAACGATACAAAATTCGACAACTGTTACTGAATCAAATCCTGCCATTAATGTATGTATGATATATATAATGCCATTAATGTGTATAATATATGTACGATATATATTGTTAAATGAGATTAACAATTTGATATTATAATTTCAGGTGCATTTTACGATAAATCAATTAGCAGTATCCGGATTGAAAGTAAATCGATTAGACATGTATGGCGAAAAATACAAGCCATTTAAAGGTGTCAAATACATCACTAAAGCTGGCATATTTCAAATAAGAATGTAAATATATACGTTAAAAATTATAAATCATTCTTTTTACACATTAAACATATAATATATAATATCTTATAACATTATATGTATGAACAGATTAAATGTAAATTTACATGACATTAAAGGTATATATAGTTTACAGTAAGGACTGTACAAAAGTTAGAACATTAAGAGAACAATTGTTTCATTTTTTGATAAATTTTACCTATTAGATAAAGCTGACAATTTGTACATTGGGTAATCTTGCTACTTACTCAGATAAAATTTACCAAAAAGTGGAACAACCGGTCCTAACAGAATTAACATAATTAAATAAACTCAACAATTTAATTGAATCAAAATATATCTATTGTCTATTTTATGTTTCATTTGAAACGAATACGAAACGAGATCGGATATGAGAAAAAATAAACAGCTCTACTTTAATAATAATCCTACTTACAATAATAAACTAAAGAACTATAATAGATGTAATATTATATATTGAGAATCCTTCATGTTGATGGTTGACATAATAATTTTTTTGCTTCCAAATCCTCCCATGTTGAATGAGTAGCATACGTATATAATCGCTCCATATTAGTAGCATATATAGTGTGATTGCTAACAAGATTTTTATAAATCTATTTGGGAAATAAAACCAATTAAAATAATTTTAATGCAATGAATATACAATTTTTTATTATTACCTTTAATGCATATTGCAAATCGGCCGTGCTTACGGGTTTTAACAGTGGACGAGTGATTTGTGTAGAACAAGCATATGAAAAAGCAGTGACTTGTTCAGCTTCTTCGAAACTTGATTTTGATGCAGGAATTTGGCCATAAGTATCTATTACTTCTGTCGGTCTGCGTTTTAAGATGGCTCCAATGTTAATCATATACAACATTGAAATCAGCAGTGCTTGCAACTTACCCAAAATTGTATGAATTTATGTACATGGAGTTTCTTTTCCACGAGCTAGGTACTGGTTCTCCTATATTATAAATGAAAGTATTGTCACGAACAGCATAGCCCTTCCTACGTGTGAAAATTGCAGTGAGTATATTTTTCAAGAAAATTTGTGTCGCTGCTATGACAATATGCGCGGTATTTTCTTCAGCCCCGTCCATATTATTTTCCCACGCAGCGAGCATTAATCGAGCTAGTACAAAAGTGCGATCTGGCAATACGAGTTCTTGGGCGCTAGAGCGGTTAGCACCTATAGGCTCGTCTCTAACAGGTGATGAAGCTTGACCTAATACTTCCACATACATGTCTGCTGGCTGTTATAAAGAAATAATATAAATGATCGTATTTACGTGAAAGAGTCAATAAATAATTTTAATTTTTATCATGATTGTTGAGAATGAAATTATGATTACTTATTGACTCACTTACTGCATTGATATTGCAATATTATATCTACAAACCTCAAAGTTTGATTTGTCAGTCTTGTATTTACGTTTTAATCTCAGTCTTCTCTCCTTTGAAATTTTATCCCTGTCTATCTTGGTTGGTGTAACGGCGGCTAATCCACGAACTTTATTAAAGAGACACAGCAAGAATTCGTTGTGTAAATGGACTTGATCTTCTGTCATGAGATTACGTGCTTCGCAATCAAATTCTTCTTTTGTAGTCTAAAACGACGATTGTATACAAAATATATAAATTTGACAAAGTTAATCGAAAAATGTATTTTGTATACCTTCATTTGGAACCATAACTTCATCTTTTCGAAATACCTATCAATAAATATAAAAATAAGATTATAAGCCATATAGGTTAAGTTCATCTTTTCGTATATCAATAATGCGTCTACTTATTTCATTTAAAATAGGAAAAAACATACACTTTTGCATTTTCACCAAGCGATGCCACGAGGCTCTTCCTAGCCAAATTTAATTCCTTCGAAGTAGTCATTCTTTCAATTTTTTTCTTATTATTGCATGCAAGTTATACAAGTGTTTTGAAATCTCAAATTAAGGAAGGTTATGATTGAGGTAAGAAAGGTTAGGTAAAAACGTAAAACAGAACAGTAGGCGATTAAAAGGAATTAAATTGAATTTGAGAAAATTGAGAAACTAAATTAAATTTTAAATTGAATTAAAAGGCAATTTTGTATATTATTTATCATTTTAAATAATTTTATTTGCTTTAGAGGCTGTTAGAAAATAAAAGTTGATTTAGAAAATTTTGAATATTATTTTTAATGTAAAAATTATATACATATACACTTCATAAATAATCTACTAGAATCTCTTTATATTTGTCAATAGACTTTGTTCTTATAATTGTGTAAAAATATAATACAGAGAGCACTACTATATAACTTAAAAATTATATAAAATCTTTATCAAATTAAAAAAAGAAATACATTTATCTATACACAAAGAAAAAGTGCAAAAAGTGCAAAAAGTCATTAATATTTATATATACACATTTCAAACAAATTCATTTTTTTACAATAATTTTTCCTACACAATTATGATACTTTCAATTGTTTCCTGCTTAATTAATTTCATACTATTTGATACTATTTAGGCAGAATTATTTAAAAATTCGACGCATGTAAAGAGTATTCTACTTCTAATTGCAATCATGTACTGAATATATACAATTCATCAAAGGATCTACCATTCTCGACCGAGCCAGTCTTCGGAATTCTTTTTCCTATTTTTACGACCTTTCTTCCTATGTCATCTGATTTCTTTGGCTAAAATCTTTGACCGAATGAGATCCCATGTTATCAATGAAGCATTCGATCTCGTGCATAAATCCATGATGAGTGGAGTATTTCTTACATCGCGCATCACTCCTAAGCAAGTTCCTGTTGCCATATTGTAGATAGGTGTAGCATTCTACAATAAAATATTTAAAATTCTCAGTAATTGTCGATAAATATATATTGCTATTTATTAAACTGATAAGTGTAAAAAAATGAAATAAAATTTCTAGTGATTGTAAGAAAAAGACAATTGTAAGAACAAAACATTTGTTAGTTTATAACATAAACGATCAAAAATTGTTGCATCAATAAGTCTTACAATACGCTTATGACGCCAATCTTGACTTCCTCCCATTTCATGACACTTTCCAAGTTTTGGAATTTTCTCAGCTCCTTCCATGCAAAGCATCTGGCCAAGTACCAGTTCATTTTTATCGGTCTCATACCACATCTACAAAAATGTACATGTAAATTTGAAAAATGGCAAAATTTTCTTTTTTTCTTTTCTCATTTGATGACAATGCTTACCTGTGATTTAATTCTTAAACACGGCATCAAGATAAGTTTGGAACCTTTAGTTTTAATATCTTTTTCACTCTGGATACAAAGCGCGGTATTTGAAAGTCTGATTTGATATTGATCGGTATAATTTCTCTTCCTCGAATGCCAAGGTTGCATTGGTCTTTGATCAAGTTTGGCCCATTTATCTTTGAGCCTCCTTTCTGTATCATCTGGCAATGTTAATTCAGGATAAACTACCTTCAAATACCAACCGAATGTTTTACATTTTAATTTCTGTCTCAACGCTAATCGCTCTGAGATATCGCCGTAATCAATTGTTTTAGCATTTTTCAGGAAGTAATCTTTATATTCGTCCATCCATACATGCGCAACTCGCAAGGAATTTTTTAACATGGTGTCTTGTGGATCATCCGAACCATACGGCCGTCGTCTTCTAAATACGTGACCCACTCGTGAACAGGGAATAAGCTCGATACTACCACCACACATCCATATCTAGAAAAAGAAGTTAATAACATTACATATATATGGCAAAAAAAAATAAATATAAAGGATTAAATTAATCAATACTTACTCGAAATGATATTTCAAGATTCTCTCCACCCCAAATGTCCATACCGATGTCATATTCTCCCATCTTTGTAAAATATTCTCTATCAATAGCAAACAATCCACCAGCCATAGTTGGGGATCTATTAACAAGAAATATTTATTTGTAAAAAAGATTATATATAAGTATTATATATAATTTTTATAATTAAGCACATTTATATGAAGATATAAAAATTATCTTACTTGATGGGCTTTACAAAATCAACGTCATGATTTAATGTTCCAATTGGTAAATTATCCCACTTAAAGTGAAGACCCCAATTAAAACCACCTCTCACTAATGGACTCCCGGTATACTGAAATGTATCTGCATTTATAATATCAATCACTGGCATCGGTACGATATTTCTCGAATAAGCAATCCTTGAAAGAAGTGGCTCAATCCACATTTCATTTACTTCTATGTGACTGTCCAAAAAGATCAAAACTTTGCCAGTTGCTTTTCTAGCTCCAAACACCCGTGCTCTGATCAAACCTTCTCTTCTTTCAGTCTTGAATAATCGTATTCTGTCATCGAAATTGTTTCTAATATATACTTCTATCTTCTCATGCAATATATCGTTGTCGCTATAATCATTCACCAAGATAATCTCATGTAGAAGTGCTGTTGGCGTTTTTTCAAGCACAGAATGCAAAGATCTCAATAGGGTTGTATAATGCTCATTGTAAAAACAAATAATTATACTAGCATTTGGTAAATTGACAGGATATTTTTGCATCTTGCACAGCTTGTGTCTCGTATCTGGTATATTTCTTTGCACGCCAAGATTGTCTGATATCAAAATATTAAAGGCATACTCCTTATAACCCTCGTCCCTCTTCCGTTGATCCTCCAAATTTTTCACCATGCCTAATTCATCTAAACCTATTAAAATACTTTGCTTGATTTTGGGTTTGACAATTCAATAATAATCTAGAATGTGAATGTGAATGAATAATTAACATTGTTAATATACCTTGCTCCAAAGTGACTGCAGGTTTTACTGGAACAGCCTGAAGTTGCTGCAAGATCAGGTCATTTTTCCTGAAGTTCTTATTGCTCTTTAAGTTATACGCTTCCTTACCAGCTAATATTTGTTTCTCATTGTGTGCAATGATAACATTGTCACGCAGCATAATATCTTTGTCAATACTTTCTCCATGTTTGGAAACGATAGGAATTAATATTGTGGGACTGGTGGTGATGACATTTTGTGACAGTCTTGAATAAAGATACAGGCTGAATGCCCATGTTAGAGAAGCTATTATTATCCCTGATAGGAATGATACATATCTTGTTGATATCATCTGTCAAACAAAAAATAAAGGATCAAAGATCACTTAGCTGTTTTTTTAGTCAGACAATTGTTTCCTACATTCCAAGAAATTTGCAAATTAATTTTCTGATGAACTCACGTTATAATTCAATTACACGCACAATCCGAGATCGGGCTGTCGGGCATGCAAGCCCAGTCCCACCCAACGAACCCAGTCCAAGAAAGTCTGGGATACGTATGGGTCTCTGAAAAGCTCAGAGAGCTATGTTTTTCACTGGGAAAACTAATGCAACACTGGTGCAATTGAGTGCAAATGGGTTGATATTTTTTATATTAATAAATAATTTTTTTTGCAAGATGTCGGATGGTGGACATTAACGTGCTTTCGAGTAATCTTTTTTTAAGATTATGACAATAAAAATATGTAAATAAAAGAGTCAAATTATTTATTGACACTGAAAATATATGAATTGATTTGCATTTATCTGCACCGTAATGTGCAGCAGGGCTGCACCAGTTTTTCCAATGAAAAACGCTATAAAAAAACTGCAACTATCGAGCGTTATCTAGTGTCATTTACCGCAACTATCACCGAACAATGCCGAACATTGCCGAGAATAGCCGAACACAGCAGCGCCCCACTCAGTGCGTAGAGACACTCATCGATCATAGGTGCACTGGCTGATTTTGTCGATTCGTTGTCAGTTTGCGGTAGCAAAAAAATTGCCGGAGATTTCGACAATTAGTAGTGACAGTTTATTTAAATTAGCACGGCAACAGTCGGCGCGTTGACACTTTTGATTGATACCCACTGGTAAGTCTTGCTTTATCTAACAAATATATTCATCGTAAATTCAGCGTGCAATCTTCCATGTCATTAATCATTAGTCGTGAATAGATGCTTCTTGCCCTATTACTGCTAATTATAACTTAATTGTACAATGCCCTTAATGTACGTAGCCAGTACTAAAATTATGTAGCCGTATTAAAATTACATAGAAGTATCTAAAAGAAGGATAGACGATTAAGGAAGTTCGACTAATAAACGATGCTTTCGACAATAGATATGTTTTTTATAGCAACTAGTGCATGCTCCTTGTATTTAAAGTGAAATAAAGTTATTTTTGATAAAGCGAAAAGGAAAGTTTTAGTATAATCGAATGCAGTAATAAAAAAAGCAAATCTAATATTAATGAAATTAATATTTTCTGTGTAAAAATAATAAACATATATCTGTATCTTTGTTCTTAGCTGTAGGATATATATACATATTATATTTGCTCTTGGATATCTATCATGCTATCTTTGTGATACATTATACTCTCGCAATATGATGCAATGTATTCTGCGAAGACAATTGATACTGAACTGATTTAAAATATTGTTTTTTTGTTGAAATAGGCTATGCACTTTTGAGATAGGTCAGAGTTGAAAGACTTCTGTTTATTACAAAATTTAAGAATTTCTCTCATAAAAATGATAAAAACACACAAGAGATTTAAAAATTGAATAAATGTTCCAGTACGTGAAAACAATTTTTTTGTGCTGAAAAAAATTTACTAAATCTTAATATTTTTTGAATACTAAGTAAACATTTATTTATAATAAATAAATATTTATTTAATAAAAATGATTCAAATTAA